CGTTGGTGAGTTATGTTGTTCACATGAAGTGACAGGATAAACTATTGAACTTTGTGTTGGTAAACAATTTTTAATCTGTTTATAATCTTTTGAAGTGTGTAAGGCACGTTCAATTGTATGTTGGTAATCAGTTGTTAAACAACTGAATACAAGACTTCATGTAGGATATCAAATTCGAATCGTGATGGAAATGTGATGAATTGTATTGGAAATGTGATGGTGTTGTGTTTGGAATGATGGTGTCTGCCTGTTGATGGGATGACCATTCATCTCGACCCATGCATGGATCGATCGGAGCATTGTGGAGCATTCGATTGAGGAACTCCGTGACTCGGTCATTGTCGAAAATTCCTAGTGTTCGTTGGGGATCTTGATTTCACTGCTTGGTTGAGGATGGAATACGATCTTTTACGACCGAGTTCCCGCCTTTATTGGTTAACCTGAATACAAAATTCGATTGCACTTTTACGACTGAGCCAGACCGTCCCCCCCCCCCCCACCAACAGACACACACACACACAAACAAACACACACACACTGAGGGCACAGTCACACTCTCGTATACTTTGTTGAAGTGGACATCATGTATACATGCGAGCTGTGACAAATTACAACAAGTGAGGATGAAAGGTTATACAACAATGCTCGCTATCTCCGGGACAGAAGCACACAATTAGTTCTATGTCCTCAAATATTAGTTGATGTAAAATTCATCCATAAATACAGTGTCCTTGTCTCTCATTTCATCTCTCTCTCTCTCTCTCTCTCTCTCTCTCTCTCTCTCTCTCCTCTCTCTCTCTCTCTCTCTCTCCAAAGATAAACGACTCTTGCTATATTTTCCTAAATGTGACAATTGGGCCCTTCCAGTCACATGGTTCCGTACTGGGTGTCATATAATCACATCAATGCATCGCAGTCATAAGAATGTGGCACCCAGTTCCCAATCTTTTCTATCTCATCGACACTGACTTCTTTTCTCTGCAGTGGACCCTGCTATATGTTAACTTCTATTTTTCTTGTCTCTCTCTCTCTCTCTCTCTCTCTCTCTCTCTCTCTCTCTCTCTCTCTCTCTCT